CTGAGCCGAAGGCAGTCGCTTAACCAACTGAGCCACCCAGGCGCCCCAGTATGTATTTTCTGAACTGAAAACACTCGATGCTGGTGAGGGTAAGGCAAAACTGGTTCCAGAAAACCAAAAGCGATATGTCTCAAAATAAAGGAAAGATAAAGTGAATTCTAATAGAATAAAATGACATTTAGCATCCACTAAAAATGGAAAATTGGAAATCTATACAGAAACAGGGAAAATGGCTTATGATGTCAATGAGAAACCACAAGACACTAAGTTGCATGTATAGACCACATCCAAGTGCCCACAACCATATTTCCCTAAGAAAAAGAGACTGCAAGGAATATCACTGTGCTTTTATTCTTGCCATCCCCTCCTTCCTTAGCACCTTACAGGCAGGGAAACTGAGGCCAAGTGGCTGCCTCTGTTATTGAGAACCTGCCGCTACAGTTTCCATGTGGCCTACAGGAGGAGAAGGAGCAAAGAAGAAAAGCTGAGGACCAGGCACCGGGAGGATCATGTCCCAGAGGACATGCAGGGCTGGGAGTGGAGAGGGCTGGTTCAACATGTGGCTTTGGCACATGCTTTCTAAGCCACGAAGCCTGTTCAGTGACAGGCCCCAAGGAACAGAGGCAGGTCCTATCTAGTGTCTGCCCTCACAGAGCACATGATCAGGGAAGGCATCAAAGAGGGAGTCGTATTTGGACCTTGAAGCCGGGTAGGGACACACAGGATGCTGGAGCCAGTTTGCGCTAGCTCCAGAGGGATGACTGCTAAATTGTCAGGAATCTTCCCTGTCAGTGCTTAGGCATAGCCATTAATAAAAATAAATTCTATAAGCTTACAATTTGGTAGATAATATTTGAAGCAAAGGTAATATGCAAAATTCATCACATCCTAATTATTTTCCTTTATCTTACTATTATCTACGCCTTTAAGGTTGTTTATACCTACTGTACCTGTGTGGCGGGAAAACTGTAGAATCATGTGCATCTCCTCTCAACTCCATGTTCAATGGCACCATATCACCATCTGGAAACTCCAGCACTGGAAGTATTTACATCACAGAAATGGGCAAATGCTCCAAATCAGAACTTGGTTTAATGTTTTGTTGCTGGTCAAGCATTTAGACCCTGGACTTCTAAAAAATGATGGAGAAAATGTTAATAATGCAGACTAAATTTAAGTCTGCCATGCTTACAGTTTTTTTAATATTATGAGTAGCATCAAAATATGAGGGAATTCTTCCAGGACTTGAAAACTATTATCTGCTTGGCAGACAAGTTATCTTTGTTACTGATGAATGAGTGAAGTTCCATTGTATGTCTTTAGTATTTCATTTTGCCTTACTCATAATGTAAATGAAAATACCAGTCAACATTCATGAAAGAACTTCACAACATAAACGACTTCTTTGCTGCACATCCTATAGTAACCAAGAATCTGTTCATAGTTTGATTTTGCAATGCTATTGTTGGTGACAGAATTAGAAAAACTGACAGTGGATTTTACAAGGAATAGCAGCACTGAGTTTGAAAGCGTATGGAATTTACAATAGGGTATTGCACATTATCTGTAAATTGTACGCTACACATTCTTTACATCAGGAAAACGTATAGTAAACATATACAGATATATATTATACATCCTTTTTCAGGACAGCCTTTGTTAAACACTTCCTAACATACCACAGGTAAGGACCCAGGCAGGGAGAGACAGGCAGGAGTGGGTAGAGAAGGGTACAGCAGGGATTGTAAATGGGTTCTAGAGCAGAGTGACCCTGTAGGAGATGAGGTGGGTGCTATCTCTTGGGGGCTGGCATCCTCACTGCCCTGGATTCCTCTGGCCCTGGTCCCTGGCCAGACAGCTTTCTAGAAGAAAAAGGAGGCCCTGGGTGGGGTGGCTTCCGACCTCCCAGGGAGTGAGCCTGGCTGGAGGTGGTGCTGAGCCTGACCACCCCAGAAGGAAATGCCTTGGGGCCACCAGAGAAGAGACAGAGGACCCTGTACATCAAAGCAAGCCAGAGGTGAGAGAGCCAGAACTGAGAGGACCCTGGTATCTTCTCACACAGTGCCAGCCCTCTCAAGGTCAAAGAGGAGACGAGTTCAAGAAGGGGACCTTGGGGCAGGGACAGGAGGTCTGGGAGGGCTATCTCCAGGGGGCCCTGCACACCCAGTCCTGGACCTGCGCTTCTGCCCTTCAGGGACACACACTGCAGGCCCCTGACTGCACTGTCTTTCTGCCCGATTCTATTGCTTTGAATCCAAGTGAGACAGGAAAGTCCAAGAAGCTCTCTGCCCCTCACTGTGCATGCCTGCACTTACTTGACTCTTACCATGGTTTCCTCACGGCTTAATTTTCCTATATAGTTTTAAATTCCTGTGTCTGTAGTCAGATTCCTCCTGCAACTCCTACCCTTCTTTTTGTTCTTCATATTGTTTGTATCTTATGATTTCCCTTAATTAGTCCTGAGGTTAGTTTATATTATCGGTTTTTCAAAGAACTGGCTTTGTTTTGTTGATCATCTGTACTGATGTATTGTTTGCTTCGGTTGTTTCTTTTTCACTCACTTCTAATTCCATCCTTCTACATCCTCTGGTTTTATTTCATTCCTTTTCTAGCTTCTTGGATTGAAAGTTCAGTGATCTCACTCCTTATTTTTAAAATTTTTCTCTTTTAATAGTGAGGATAGCTAAAGTTACAAATTTCCCTCTGAGCACTGCTTTGGCAACATCTAAGAGATCTGATATTTACCAGTGTGCTTTTTTTCCAGGTGTAGGGATTTGCAGGGTGGAGCTATCTTTCAGTAACTGAATTCTAATTGCTTTGCATTCTGGCCAGTGAATATGGTTTGCGTGATGACAGCGTTTTGGAGTTCACTGAGATTTCCATTGCTTACTATTTTTTTCTTAACGTTTTTTAAAAATTAAACTATGATACACACTCAGTAAAGTGATTACAGATTATGTGTATAGCTTGAGGAGTTTTTACAAATACATATACCTAGGGGCACCTTTGTGGCGCAGTCAGTTATGCAACTGACTCTTGGTTTCGGTTCAGATCCTGATCTCAGGGTCGTGATATCTAAAATCAATCAACCAATCAATCAATCTTTAAAAAAATACATATACCTACATCTCTGCCTATGGATCAACATATAGAATATTAACAGACCACAGAAGACTTCTTCTTGCCCCCTCCCTATCAATACCCCTCAGAGGTATCATCATGATTCATTTTTCCATTCATAAGTTTTTGAAGTTCTTATAAATGAAATCATATAATATGTATTCTTTTGTGTCTAGCTTCCTTCTCTTTACATTATGTCTGTAAGATTCATCCATGTTTTTCACTGTAGCAATGGTTTATTTCATTTTCACTGAAGCACGGTTGTCCATTGTACAAAGACATGGTAATTTATTTATCCATTCTACTGTTGTAAGACACTTAGGTTGTTACCAATGTATAGCTATCATAAACAATGCCGCTATGAACATTTTTATAAATATCTTTTAACACAGACATGCATTTCTTATAGGTATATATATGAAAGTACTGATTAACTTTCAATTTTTGGATTCTGAGTGTATTTTTTCCTATATCATTTAAAATCTTATTTGGGTCAAGGTAGGATATAAAAATATTTTATCATGTGTGACTATGTCAAATGAATCAGGGGCTGTAACTCACAGCATTATTCTCCCCCTGGCCCCTAGTGTTCAAACTTAGAAGAATCCTAGAACCCAGATCTCTCAGGCAGTGGCTCCTAAACTTCTATCTCGGAATCATCTGGAGCACTTGTTAAAAATGCACAATGCTGTCTCTGCCCCAAACCTATTACCTTGGTTTCTCCAGGAGCAGGACCCAGGAACCTGCATTTTAGCAAGTATCCCCAGGTGGTTCTACCGCTCATCGAGGTGTCAAACCTTCCTGGGCCAGGTTTCCATGACTGTGGACCAGTGAGGTGAATTATCACCATCCCAGGCAGCCTGAGACACTCTGTGTCCCGTACTGAGGACCCCAGTTATAACTGTTCTCTCCCTGCCCACTTCCTTCTTGTCTTCACTCCTAAAAGCCCAAGTAAAGAATGTGGATGGTTTATCAGAATTACCAATAAGCTTGGGTGGAACTGGCCCCTTTCTTCACTGCACCCATGGGAAAACTGAGGTTAGGGAGATGAAGGAGAGTCCATAGGGAGACAGAGTCCTATCCTCCCTGTGTCTACAATAAGGAAAAAGTCCTGCAAAGGGAAATCCCTTAGTCCCAAGTTTCCTGAGAGTATTAGTGTTCCAGAAGAGGCCTGTGTTATCAGAACGAGCATGGCCTTGGGAATCAAGACAGACCCAAGGTCAAATCCTAGCTCCTCTTCTTGAAGCAAGTAAATTGAGGTTTCTGAACCTCAGGTCCCAATCTTGAAAATGGGTTTCGAGCTGATATTAGGGTGAGAGCTAACATATATATGAAGCATTTGGCACACGATATGGGCTGAATAAATGGGTATAATTATTATTAAGAGAATATCAGTCACATGGGAAGTCCTGTCACTTTGTCTGGAATAGTACACAGGCTGGGTGGCAGAAACAGTGGGAGAAAGGAATCCTGATTCTCCCAATGCCTTACCTACTGCCTTTAGGTTCTTCCTTCTTCTTGTGACCTGCATGCCTGAACTCCAAGTTCACCTAGGAGCCCTTCCATTGGACACACGTTTCCTGAGCAGCAACTGTAGACTGGGTCCTGAGGGGCACTGGGGTTTTGGTTCCTGTCCCAGGGAGTACCCACCTTAACAGACAGGCAGGAGTGTGTATGGACAGCTACAGTACAGAGGGCAAAGTGAGAGTCTTGGTGAGGAAGTGGAGTTGGGGTGGGCCCCAGGGGCTGAGGCAGGCATGGGCAGGGAGAACACACCAGATGACTGCAAACCTAGCCATTTATAAATGGGCAAGTGGAGGGGCACCTGGGTGGCTCAGTTGTTAAGTGTCTGCCTTCGGCTCAGGTTGTGATCCCAGGGTCCTGGGATGGAGCCCTGCATTGGGCTCTCTGCTCAGCGGGAAGCCCGCTTCTCCCTCTCCCACTCCCCCTGCTTATGTTCCCTCTCTCACTGTGTCTCTCTCTGTCAAATAAATAAAATCTTTAAAAAAAAAAAAAAACAACAAATGCAGTCACTCCCCTTTCTCAGTATCACTGATCCAACATCCTCAGACACCCAGACACCAGCCAAGAGTTAGGATATAAACTTACAAGGCCTCTGGGTGGATGTACCAGATGACATGAATCCATGCCCCTTCCTCACAGTGAAGCAACCAGGTTCCAATGCCCAGCGTATTTTCTTCTAGGCAATTCTAACAAGCTTTGTTATTATGTCTGGTTTCTCAGAGTAGAAGCAAACAAAGACTCAAGAAGTTGGCCCACTGACCCTAGCAAAAAAGCAGTATTTAACAGCCTGACAGGAGAAATGTCCAAAACAGTATAAATGACAGCTGTATTCACTCAAAATCACAGTCTGGGGTCAAAAGCCTACACATTCCAGAAGGCCCTGGTGTTGGTAATAACTCAAGACGCGAAGAATCAAGTTGCATTGTGTCCTGTGTTCTCTGTTTAATAGTGCAGAGACAGCTGGTCATAGAAAAGTTGACAGAAAAATGTCCAATAGCACTAGGAATTAAAACATAAGCACATTAACCAATAATAAAATCTATGGTGTTTAAGTTAGTATGTATTTTCTTTTTTTTTTTTTT